TGGCTGCTTTTGGACCTAAAAATGGTCAAAAAGTTTAAATATCAATCTGAAATTTTTGTATAATGTAGTAGTACAATCTAGTATTATGTTTTAGTGAACAAATTAAATTTCCATCCATTGCCCATTTCATATTTAATTTCTTTCTGGACGTCCGCCATAAGTAATTTTTGGGAAGACTTCGCAACTTCATTGCTCATTTTCTTTCATTAAAGTCAAAATTTTCTTAAAGTGTGATACTTATCGGGTACCTTAGAATGTGTCTTCTTACATACGAGCCAAAATTTTTGAATTTGGTAAAAATTTGCGAAGCTTGGAGTATTTTCTTCGTGGAGGAAAAAATCTAGATTTTTCGAAACGTGATCTTTCGCTATGTTTGAATTTTAGATTTTTGCAAGATTAAGCCAGAAAATCAAATTGATGATTTTATTGTACTACCTGATATAGGGAGTCAGACGGTCAAAACCTCATAGCTGTAAATATGATACAGAGTTTGTACAGTCCTCGTGACCTCAAGGATTGGAAATTAGGCAAAATTCGTCGCGCCCATGCTAAACCAAGTATTTCTTTGGAAATTTTAATGCTAATTTTAGGTCTTCGATGGTTTCTATTTAAGTAAGATATGTAGCATGGAAAAATTGCATAATTCCAGATTTCAGGCGATTTTGAACGACGTATGACTCATTATGATTCACTGAAATTTTTTGCAAAATTTTGTGAAACAATTTGAGAAGTATGTACTTCATTGATTATTTCTGGACCTCATTATACTTTCCAGCTATATTTTTCAATGCGATTTAATCTACAACTTATGCACTTTAAAATGTTATAAATATTTGTCGTTGATCTTTTGCCGTTTCGAAAAAGCATGCATAGTTGCAATCTGATTTTTATTTCAACAAATTTTAGTTGATTTCTGTTTTTGATGGGCTGCAGTGGTCGATACAATAATGGTGGGATTTTGAAAGTGCTATTTTCGGATTCTCCATACTTTTTTATTTAAATTATGATATTTGATCGAGCACCGCCTTCTTTTTTCAAATTAAGCCGAGATTATTTTTAATTCATGTTGTTTACATTTTTGTACTTACATAAATTTGCTTCAAAAGTTCTGCACTTTCAACTCTCGCTGGAAATTTATTTTACGTCAGAATTTCTTGAAATTTCAACCACTTCTTGCAATAATGTTGCAGATTTAAGAAAAATAAATGTTATAAAATTTCCGTGCCAGAACCACATTATATGACACTAAAAGCAGCCATCCACAGTACTTTCCACGACTACTCTACAGAGTGGTCCAAGTTTTTTGCATCACTTTAAATTACCTTGTCAATTTTTTAATTTTCGACGATGGATCCTAGCAATAGGCTCAATATGTAGCCCTTTAGTTTGTTGAATGAGCCTCAGCCTCCTTTTCCAGGAATTGATTGCGAAATGAACGTACCAAGGGTCACTTTGTTCCACTCACTATTTAGAACTTTCCAAAATCCTTCTTTTTTCTCGGTATCCCCTCGAACAAACGTTGTTTTAGGAACCCGAAGCCATATAAATCCATGCGACTGATGTCAGGTTACTTGACTTAGATGTCTTTAGTAGGAATAATTGCAATTTCGAATCTGCGATTCAAACACGCTGCGCAGGCTACCGTTTTTCGAGAGGTATGGGAGGGCGCTTGGTCATTATGGACCACAACTTTGGAAGTCTCGTTACCGTAAAATTTTGAATTTAGACTTCGAGTAAGGGCTTCAAAACTTCCTCAATATAGTAGTCCGAGTTTATTTTTACCTTTGGAGGCACTTTGTGAAGCGGAAGTATTCCTTTTCCACTGAGAAAGCCGACGACCATGAACTTGTTAAAGTTACTTTGACAAAAGTTGACAAAAGTTGGTGGAATTTTTTGACCAAGTTTTCTGCAACAAATTCTTCTTTTTCCGTTACAATTTCCAAAATAAAACTATGCCTCATCTAATGCCACAATGAATTTGGACTTATCTCAAGAAATAAATTTTTTATAAATTTTTCTAGCTGTTGTTCTGCGTTGGTGAGCTTGGCGTTCTTTTAGCACGTGAACTTTGTACTTTTTTAGGATTCTGTATTTCAAATCCTTATGAATTTCTTTGTACACTGTTGTCTTATTTACTCCTCACGATTTGGCTATCTCCGTTTGACTCGGGATGCTTTCGTTCTTAATAAAACTTGCAATCTTCTTGATGGTCACTGGAATTTGTTTTGGGGGTCGACTTTGGTTTTGGGCTGGGGTTTGCCCAGAATTAACTGCAGATCTCCGTTTTCAAATGTTTTTCATAACTGGAGACATAGTTGATTGATTAATGATGAATCCTTCCAATTTCAACCGTTTACTCACTACTCTTTGAGACCAACCATCTCTGGAAAGCGCCCGGATCAGGGTCTCACATTCAGGAGTCAATAACTTTGGCATTTTTGAATTAATTTAAATGAAATTTTGCACAACTGTGAAGAAAACTCTGGACAACAATTACTGAAAAAATTGGCGGTCTACGTTGGCCCATTATGAAACTGTACAGATAATTCAAGTGATGCAAAAAAATTGGACCATGCTCTGTAAACTTACTTACTTACTTACTTAATAAATCTAAAGATTCAAAACGTAAATGGACGAAATTTTTTGTGGATAGTAGCTAACCCTTGGCCGATCCCCCATTGGCCTCTAACCTTGAATTAATTAGTTTGGAGAGTGATTCTGTTAAATTTTCTAACATAGAAGCCGGATGTGACTTCCAGTCTTTTTAGAATCTTGCGATTAATTGTCGTTTTGCAGCGGGCACGGGAGTCTTGGATGCCGAATCTTTGGGAATTTACCATAAATTTCCAAGTGGAATCAAGTTTGGGCTGTTCACAGGCAACACCCCCTTCCCCTAGACATCAAAACTTTGTTGTTTCAAGAATGTGGAATGCTTTTTTGAAATGTGTTGTGTGGCTCCATCCTGTCGAAAAGAAATTTTTATCTGATTTGAGAATCAAGACCTGTCCTGTAGGGACCTAAAATACACAGGAGTAGTCAGCGTTCACGATTTGTTTTCCGCGGCGTGCAACTCGGTGACGCCATGTGCACAAAATCCTCTCGCTAACATAACTTTGAGTCCGTGTTTTGGGGTCATAATCTCAGGCACATTTTCTTTATTGTTTGTATAATATCTCTTACTTTGTCGGTTCCCCACTCGGTTAAGTTCTATCCACGGATCATCTGTGAGTAAGATATGCGAGCGGTCTCCTTGAACTAGCTTTCCGGAGTCCAAAAAACCGTCATTTTTCAGTTTTTCGACAAATTTTTACGGTCTTGAATGTTTTTTTGACTTCGCAAGGGTCTCACAGAATTTTAGTAAGCTGTTTTACCCCAATTTTGATTTTTAATATGACGTCGAACTGTTGTACGGCTCACAGTTTGTCCTTTTTCTCGGTACCGTTTTGACTTGTTTAACTTCTTCACCACTTTTCGCACAGAACTGCCACTCTTTTCAAACAAATATCTCTTAATTTGTACCTTGGATGTTGGTTAGAGTACTTAGCGTTTGAATTTGCTTGGTTGGTCTGGGCCTAAACTATCCGATTTGACCCATTTCGAAACGGTGTTTTTTGACACTTGAAATTCTGACGCTATTTTTCTGACCGAGTGACCCTCAGTATGCAAAATCTTTATTGTCACTCTTTTGTCCTTTCTGGTCACTAATATGTTGGCCATGTTTAAAGAATCAAAAATTATGAAAATCGGATAGCTAGAAATAATTTGACAATCAAATTAGTAAGCAAACCCAACTGAGTGAGGACTGTCCCAGTTAGGAAAGGCACACTGCTTACAGTATTCTACACATATTTAGTCGTTTATTTTCAATGCAATCGCCCACACTTACCTTACTTCTAGTAAGGTAAGTAAGGTATTTTTTCTTAGACAAAGTAAGTTACTTCACCTAAGAAAAAATATTACCCTATCGGGGTAGAATAGCTAATATTAAATATGTAGCAGCCTTTCCTAAGATAGTAGGTCTATTTTTCCTAGTTATTTTAAAGCTTTCTCGAAGCTTCAACTTATATTTAATCACGCAATTCTATCACGACAAAGTTAAATAAGTCGATGATATTGAAATTTATTTTAAACAAACACGAATCCTTATGAAAGTCTATGGTTTTAAAATAGAAACTAAAATCATTGCATATGAAAATCCTTTCGTATCCTAAGTTGTTACCTAAGTATATAGTTCTATTAGAACTGTTCTCAATATATCTTTAAATTACTTTGATATGCAAGTAAATTTAAGTTTACTTCCTTTAGATAAGTTTTCCGATTTTTCGTGTCTTGTTTATAATTTGAAAATTTAAAAAGAGAAGCATATCTTGCATTTGAGAGGTGCAGAAATCTTGTCAAGTTAATTCGAAACCAAATATTCATGTACGTCGACACGAAATAGTTTATATCATTTTCCATCTCGTGTTGAACCATTCACAGACCTTGAATAAAGTATTTAATGCTTATTGAAATGTAAGCCCAAGCAAAACAGCGTTTTTTTTAAAACCATGCATTTTTGCAACTTTTCCACTGGAAAGAGGAATTTTCCTTGTTTCCTCTATATACATAATACTTAATTTTATCTACGCGGCAGCATTCACGGCGCCCCCACGAGTTCTGGCGTTCAAGCCAATTACCCGCCCCCTGTTTATTGCCTTGGTGATAATTGCACTTAAACTTAAAAAAACATGTGCAAGCTGGAAATTAATTCACGCCATATTTATACACTTATCACCCATAATCCCCCCATGAGAATTGCCACGGTGTAACAGGTCATCCACTAAGAAATAAAACGCAACCATGGCGAGTATTAATCGAATAGCCTGTATTTTTTCACCTTAGGAAAAATACTAAATAAATAATACCCAATACTAACTATGCAGCAGCCGTGTCTTTATGACTATATTTACGTCAGCCGTTCTTGTCAGCGAATAAATATGTCCACTTGATAACGTATGTACTCAAGTTTCATCAAAGTTAAACAATAGTTTTTATTCTTCAATCCAGGATAATTAATTTACACTCAATGCGAGTTTAAAAATTCATAAAAATTTCAACCATATTGCGTCCTTAGAGAAATATATCGTTCTGGGCACCTGAAATAAATATTTCAAACAAAACTTTGTAGTCATTTCCATAATTTCCAGCACCACATCCAACTAACCAGGTGAGAATCCCCAATCAGGGCTGTACGAGACAAAGTCATTATTTGGAGGCAGCTCGATATTGTTTCCTTCAGCCTCTGGATTGGATATTTTACAGACCAATTAGCTTCTTTTTTAATAATTTCTTAATGTTTTATTAGTGAACTTACGCCGGGTCGCAATCATCTGCTTCGCTCCACGGGTACATTCGTTGAAGTTGGGACAGTACCTGGGAGGCTGGGCGGGGGCAAGTCGTCTCGTAGAAGTTGACCCCGTCACCTTGCATTTGAATCCTTGCATGTACCTGTAATAGTAATACCCCCCGTTTGATTTTAAATATGCCACCACTAATTCTGGCATTACCGCTCCTATTCACTCACATATTAGGCTCTCCGCATCCCTTGGGAACCCACAGCCAGGCACAAGTGCACCCATCCGCAGGGCAAGCCAGAAGGTCGCGGGGGACTTGATAGGTCGCAATGCGTTTCCATGGTGTACTGGAGACCGCCTAAAATTTTAACGAATCTAAAAATACTTCCCAATTTTTTTCTACTTACTTTGGCAGAACAGTAAAAACGACCAAATTCTCCATCGTCACAGCAGATATATCTGAGACGTAGCTAATTGCAAAGGCCGTCCCAGCAGCCATGCTTTGATTATTTGTGTGCAAGGCCCCATCTTCCTGGATGCAGTCTGGCGGATTACCTGGTCCCTTCCAGTCTTCGGGATGTTGCTGACCGTCGGGCCAGTCCGAGGTGAACTCTCCGTTGAACGACAACGTAGTTTGGGCACGATTATGGGCCAGCTCGACCGTGAAACTTCCTCCTGCGGGCAACTCGAGGAAAACGCCAGGTGCAGGGGGTGCCCTGTCGCAGCCTCGGTCAGCTTGGAACCACCATTGTGATCTAGGCAAATTGTATAGGGGAACTACGGCATCGTTCGTGTGGGGATTATCTTGGCTAGGATCAGTTCCCCCGAGGCAGTACATGCCCGGTGCAAAAGCGGCCGTGTGCGCATTGGCAGACGCCACAAGAGACAACAAGGCCACAATAAACATTACGTTGGTGTTCGTTACGTTAAAAAATTGATTAAGAAATTTCTGAAGGAAAATCTCTGTCATGGATGGAACTGGTAAAGAGCAACTACTGGGTGAACAGGGTTATGAATTTTGAGTTTAAATACTTTGACCAGTTTGGGTGAACAATACTATAAATAATTTCACCAAGCTCGTTTCTCATCATTGATCAATCAATATCAAAATAATCAAATGTATGATTCGGAATTAAGTATAGGAATTGAACACGTGAATGAGATGCTCTCCACTTCAAGTGTAGTTGAAATATCACATGCAGACAAGACAAGGCCGTGGTCAATTTTGCACACTGCTTGATTTAATTGCAACATCACAATGGAATTTATTATGCGTTTATCACCTTATCAAATTATTAATTAAAGCTTGAATTGGATTTTGCATCATGTGTAAATCACGTTGACACATTCCATCATAATATCAAATTTGTAGCGTTATGGTGATCGTACCAATGATAGAGATGAGTAAGAGTCTGTTCGTCATACTTGGTTTTTAGCCCGACTCAGTACTTATGTCCTGAATCTTGTCCAGAGTTTATGTCAATCCTGATTCACATCGTCAATGCAGCCGATGTTTAAAATTTCAAGTTGCTACTAACATTTCTAAAACTCCGTTCAAATTGAAAATCAGTTAGGCTTCATCTGGCATAAAATTTTATAAATCAATCTCTACATGGCAAAATGGGCTGATCCCTGCGCAAAATTTCCTCATCCAAGGATAATTTCTGAAAATCAGTTTGGATGGCCTAAGAGGTTCCCAAATGTAATTGTTTTCACAATTTTACTTAATATTAACTGTGCTTGGCAGAAAATAATTTATTCTTGTTATGTAAAATATTTTGCCTCCACCCACATCTTCATTTTGGTGTGGGCATATGGCATATGTCGATAAATTATCGTGGGGGAGGAGGGCCCCTCATTTTCTTAAACTGAGCAAAACTGAGACTGCCCTTTACCCGAGAACGTTACATGAAATTGCATGCATCTGCGTCTCATCAGGTAAATGTTATTCCGTGTCTTATTTATTGATTAGCGATTATTTAAATGATGGTGATGGTGGATAAAAAATTTAAAAATGAAATTAGTTCATGGGGTATAGTTAATGCTGTTTTTATGCCTTAGTTTGTGTTATCTCCCTTTTGAATACATTTGCCAGATCTCGCATGGTTAAATAACTTTTTCCAGACAAAACTCAGTCCTAGAGAGAAACCGCCGACAATATTTTTGTCCAGAAATAATGTACAATATTTCCTATTCACCAACAAGAGTCCAACTACCCCAAACGCCATAACTACCACACAGAGGGAGAATAATAAAGGTGAAAAAATAATTTGAGAAAGCGAGTTGACGAAAGAAGAGGTGCAGTTGAGCGTCAGAAATTGGTTGACCACGCATAGAACTGGTGGGAAACTGATTTCCAATTTCACAAAAATGTATGGGAAAGTGATAATGAAATTTAACACTACCTCCTTCAGCCGATTAAAGAAATTAGCGTTTCATGTAACTTCTGCATATTATGGGGTTGGCATTTATTACATATTTTATTTACAGACTTATGATTAAAGATTTCATTTAAAAATGCATAACACATATTTAATTATTAAATAGTATTCACTCCAATGGGGACCAGAAGGCGAGGATGCTGCTGTCACCCAATTCACCAGGGTTAGCTGACACCGACCTTTGAGGGAGGGAGCGAATTTTGACATTCCTTGGATTATACCTGGAATGGAATTTTCCCTTGGTCAACAAGGGTTGTTGGTGAACGGTATCCACACCCCACTTTCTTGTCATTCTGCACGACATCCCCACCCACAACGACAGAATGTTGACATCTGATCTGCATTCCTCTACCCTCAAAACAGCATTACTCACTCTACTCCAGCATACCGTACCCTCCATCCCACTCGTTATACTGACTCAGCTGGATGCTTCACTGAATCCGTAGATCTATTCGTTTAGTTACAATGTTCTTTTTCGTCATTTCGCTCTACTGTTTGAGTCAATACTCAACATTTACTTATCTGTTTGCGCTGAACCCTTTAAGTACTAAATGTCAAGTTCTTAAAAATTTATGTGTGACGGGTGAAAAAAAGGGTGATTTCTTCCCAGAATTACTAAGACAACTTTGAAATTTTTATGCATTAGTTTGCTAGAAAGCTTGTTAGAAACTAGAAAGCGTGAGGGTGATAATTGTAACTTTTTCGATTGGTTACGCGACTACGTAGTAGCAACACGCTTGCAAGACTTTTTCTATTTATCTTCTCTATTCAGGGATCACCTGTAGAAAAGCAACTACTTCCGTCTACTTTTAAATATGGTATGGTAAATATGCTCCTGAATTCGCTTGAATTATGAACTTTCTCCAAACAAATCTCACTCCTTGAGTGAACCCGCGGACAACATATTTTCCCAAAAGTGTCACCAACTTCTTGTTCTCCACCAAGAATCCAACTACCCCAAACGCCATAACAACCGCACAGAGGGAGTAGGCCGGAACAATTAGACCCATCGATATAGGGACCGACTCGTGAAATGTTACGGGCTCCCTCAGATTGCCAAGCAAGTGTCCTACCGCTTCAGAATACTTATTCTGATGTACAATTACCTCCTTGCCTCGTAACCAGGTGCTAATCATTGCCGCCTTTTTCCACACTTTGGCTAAACCAGACTGCTCAATTTGCCCCAATCCCCTCGAGAAGTAGCGGACAAGCAAATTTTGACCACCAACAACGTAACGCACCATCTTCAACCGCGTATCTTCATTATTTCTTACAATGTTTCGATTCCCCAGAATTTTTACCAAATTCACAAAATTTTCCAAACCTGAATTAGCAATAAATAACGCGATCATTGGATGCATTCTGGTCGTGTTTTCTAACAGAATTTTTTGTACCATTGCTTGCACCGATATATTATTAAAGAATAAAATTCTATCCTCAAGTGTGGCCAAAGATTGAATAAATTTTGGATCCCAACCTTTACTATATTTTAGTGGTAGGATCGCGAATAGCGCAAGGTATGTGAAGTGCCTGCCCGTCAAACGATTCTGGCCTACTTCCGTCGCCACTATGGGAATTTTCCACCTAATAAGTTCCTCTAACCCGCGCGGAGTTTGGGGCGGGATGAGAACCGTCATCGATGAATACATCGACCCCTGGTACAAATTCAACATGAGGAAAAACTTCCCAAATAGCAAGAGAGTCATTGTGACCAAGTTCGCTTTGCCAGAACACCCGCCAATTTGTCCTATAAGAATATACGTTACGGTGATTACCTTATCCTTCATCGCTTTCACAAAGCCAAGACACCAGTCTCTCCTAGCCCCTACCCACGCCAAGTAGGCCGCCACAGAAACGCCGCTAACAACCAGACACGTCCACGTGTCTTTGTCGAAAGGCGAGGCGAAGCTTGTCATACCGCTCGCAGAGGTGGCTGGGTTGGTAACCGTTATAAAATTGAATGAGTCCAGCTGGATACGGTGAATGTATGTATCTGAAGTGAACGCCGAGAGTAGCCGTTCGGATAGTGGTATTCCGAAATTCCTAATCCCTGGAGAATGGTAAATTTCGACATCTCCAATTGCTAGGCTTAAATTATACTTTTCAGCAATTCTTGTCGTGTAGCAGAAGAATCGATCTTGAAAATTTACAAATCCACTGTGCAACAGGCCACACGTTGAACTCAATTCTTGCATGACTGAAACTGAATGTGTGTGCATATTGCTATTTTGGGTGTCCCAGACTTCCAGGATTCCTTGCAATGTGGTACTTTCCAGCTTCAAAAGTTTGATCGGATTGCACGTTAAGCACGGCATCAAGAGGGGTGGATAACACCCTTTTCAAATGTGACAAACTTCGCGCTACCCATTGATTCGGGTAAGTCTGTAAAACATTCCGTATATCGGGTTTCAAGAAAAACATAATCTTGTCGTAGTGTCGTGTCTGCAAGCATTAGCAAGGACTCACATTCTAACTTATCATCGAACTCAAGATATCTGCTAGGGGCGGCAGGTAAGAATACGACTTTAGATCTTGCAGACTTTTCAGTGGCGCGATACTTAAATGAGGCCACATTGTTCTCATATAGGGAAAGATATTCTGCTTTCATGACAAGTTGGCGGAGTGGGGTGTAGGAATTCTTCAACTTGAGAAAATTAAAGTATGGAAAATCTGAGTCCACGTCAACCAACGGGAACTGGTCTGTGATAAATATGAACGTCAAATCGGCATCGTCAAATAGACCCTTGGATAAGCCAGAAGATTCAGAAAAGCCAGGAAAAATCGTAGCGATAAATGACAAGAAAAGCGGTAATGAATACATTTTTATGAAAATTCCGATAAGTAAACTATGTAGTACTGTAACTACCTTATAGTACTGAAACTTCCTGCTAGAAAAATATTATTGATTACGAATGTCTGCTTTCCACTTCGGAATAATTTATGATGACCTTTTGCATAAGTTGCCATAACAAGTGAATAATTTAGTACCTTAAATATTCACATACATACATGAGATAAGGTTTTTCTATTTTTTCCTGTTATAGCACGAATGTCGGGGCAAAGTGAGACATTTGGCGCTATATGTGGAACATATAGTATGTTGTTACCTCAACTCAATGTTAATTTTTATTTCTCGCGTTGGCTAACCATATAAGATACGAAGATGCGGTAAAAAGCAATATGACTGTCTTCCAAATATAGGAATAGGGTACTCGCACCGTTTTTCGAAATTTTGTAACGTTTTTTAATTAAGCTACAAAACGTGTTTTTGATCAAATTTTTTTTTGAAAATGACTTTGAACGAATTGGGTACATCCTAGAGGGGTAAGTTAAATTTCAATTATCTCCGTAATTGCCCTGGCTACAAGATTCTTGTGAAGGATTTTTCAGAACAATGCTTCCTTAAAGCGCTAAGTTAAAATCTTTGACAGTTTTCGGGATTTCAACTACCAATTTTTCGTCAAGGCTACAGCTATTTTGATACATTTTGGTGACTTCGGCTAAAGGGAATTGGCTGCAGGAAGGTTCAACTTAGTTTCCTCCTTCTTATGCATTTTTCGAAATTGGCCCTAGTTATTGAGATATGGCGCGATTTCTAAAATTCAAATAT